GTTCAATTTCTTGGTTGCACTAGATACATTTTCATTGCTCCGTGGCCCTGCGTGGCCCATGGTTACTGTGCTGAGCAGTGCAGGCCTGGAACACTGCCTTCATTGCCCAGAGTTCTCTTGGACAGTACTGCTCTACCATTTTTCATTCAAATCGAAAATCATTCCACTCTGAGACACACGTAAATGTTTCGAGGTCACTAAAACACCTCTGAAGAAACCTCACTTGTTGCATTTGAGTTCAGTTTCAGGAACAGCGAGAAGCTTAGGCAAAACATGTTGCCTTTTCTGTGGGAGCAGAACATCTTGTTTCTCCTGTCCACAGTGGTGTTTGCAAATAGAGCACACGTGAGAGCTTTCTTTATACGGTCAAAAATAGGCAGTAGTGTAGGTAGCCATTGTGTAGACTGTGCCGTGCTCGTCCACGTCAGCGAGGTTTTGTATAGAAGCAATTTTTCTGTGCAGTAACACAGTATTAAAGCAGGAATCAAATATTTGTGGTTTTTTGGTTCATAAAAATCCACAAAGATCATGAGCCTAAAGTAAAATGTCAGGAATTCCAGGCAGAAGCGAGACAGCAATTACTGTATTTTTAAGGTGAGTTTTGAACATGAGAAAGTCCCTGTGCCACGCCTCTGCCTGGGGGAGCTGAGGACCTGCAATGGAGCGCAGACGGCCTGCAGGAGCCTTATCGGGTGTCAGATTTGTCCTTCCCTCTGGGTGCTTCCTGAGGGTGGGTAGGGCTGGGGGGACGTTGGAATCGTCCTGTTGAATGGTCTGTGCTGTCAGGTGGCAGGAGCGGTTTAATTGCACGAACCACGTTCCTTTTTCTTATGTTAAGTTGCGAGAACTCCAGTTTAGGATAGGAGTTGCCAGCCCCTTTGAAGTAAGCGAGAGAGGGAAAGGAACCTTAAGACGATTACTGGGTTTTTTGCTCTCGTGAAGGATAATGGCCCCATGAAGCCGGCTGGGAAAAGTAGAAGGACGAGGTTTTAGGAGGGAAAATTTATTCCACTGTGAGCACGTGGAGTTACAGGCAGAAGTCGGCATGTCCACGTGGAGGTGTCAGTCTGAACTCAGGAGGGCTGTGGGACTGGAGACTGCGAGGTCTTGTGTCAGCAGCATGATGCAGGGGACGTAAAGCATGGAAGGGGGAGCAGAGGGCGGCTTGCAGGAGGCCCCGCAGCAGGAGGTGCAGCTGAGGGGCGTGAAGGATGGTGCTGAGCAGCGGCCCTCAGCTTCTGGAGGGTGACAGCCAGGTCATCTCCGCTTCTCCTCGTAGTCAGGGCAGGGGTGCATACCATGAAAGACAGAAGAAAAGAAAAGCGGCCGTCAGGCTGGACAGGGGCTGGGGAGTCACAAGTCCTGGTCAGGAACCTGCAGAGGGTGGAAGCAGGGTCGGCGGGCTGCACAGGGAGACCGTGCAGGTGGAGTGGCCGGGGCAGGAAGCTGCTGGGGACATCGCAGGCCCGGCTCATGATGGAGAAACACGTCCCGGGGCAGCCGCCTGCTCCCGGCCACCACCAGCACGGCCCAGCTTCTGCAGTGTGTCCAGAGCCCCAGCTGTGGCCTTTGTCACGTGCCGATCTACTTCTTAGGACACCGTGGGGGAGAGCCCGGCTCCCAGTTCGGTGTGTGTCAGTCTGAGCAAAGACTGAATGCGAAAGGCTGTCATGTCTTTAAAATTACAGGAGGTGTGACGGGAACTGCGAGTGGTGTGGCTCATTTACTTTCCAGCTGTGATTTATACCTTCACAAAGCGGACGGAATACGCTTTATCATGAGGATTGATGCAAGGGCTGGATGTTTAGGCTCTGCTTAGAATGACCTTTTGATAGATATTACAGTCAATTATGACATCTTATTTACTAAGAACTAAACAATTTTTTCGTGTTTTCAAGCATAATTTTACAATTTTAAAAAATACATTTACTCAAAAAAAAAAACTGGCCAACTATCTGAAGACTTATTGGAGGAGTGTGTCGTGTTTGCCCAGATTCATCTGAACTCACCCCTGCTCAGAGCCACCGCCTCACGGAGGCACGTGCTGTCCATATAGTGTCTCCTGTGGTGTGTCACTCAACGGGGCAGGAGCCTGCAGTGTGCGGGCTGGGGGCCTCCCCAGGCAGCCCCTGCCAGCCATGTGTGTTTGAGCACAGTGTGTGGGTTCTCTGTGTCTCTGCCCCTGGTATTTCTATAGTTAAATGTTGAGAGTGTGGCAGTGGCTTCTTCTGCACAGTTGTTACTTTGAGAGACAATCTATCGTGGGGTTTCATAAAGCAACTTTGTTGAAGTGTAGGTGGAAGAGTTGCAACTATGAGAAATAGATGCACATGTCAGAATCCTCATTTTAATTTCCAGAAATACTGATGGGGCAGGAAGAGAAGGGTATTTGACATCTGTTTTTACCCTTAAAAGTTAAGGTATTTTATGTAAACTGAAAACTATGAGAAATCATGAAATTTTAACAAAGATTATGTAGTTATATCCAAATGCAATTTATATTTAAAAGATTTTATAGGAGAAGCTAGGAAGGTTGCTTTAGATTGTGGTGGTAGACTTATGGATGAGTTTCTCAAAAGACTTATGTCTGTTTTAAAGATTTTTTTTTCTTCATGTGTCCATTTATGGATATTAGTACTACAGAAATCAGTGGGGGTTGGGGGGACTGATTTCTCCAAGGCCGTCCTTTCGTTAATTATTTATTTCACTGGAAGTATATGGACACTGGAATAAAGTCCAGCTACACTGATTGGATTATGTCTCTGGCATTTGAGCTCAGCGTGGTTATAAAGGAGAGTAACCGCCAGCATTCCCGCTCTCAGGATCCTTGGCCCCATGGTGGATGACTGCCACACTCAGGGAAGGTCCCTTGTCATAAATGGTGGTTTGATTCAGAGACACTGACGCTTGGAGCTGCTAATTTGGGCACATTCATTAGAATCAGTATTTACAAACGAGCTCCTCGCAATCCCACGTGGCCGGTTTTCCCTCCTCTTTGTTCTCTCCCCTTTCTGTTTACTCCTTCATGGCCTTCGTGTTTCCCCTTCTCAGACACGCACACATGCTGTGCCACCTCGAGGACACTGTCATCACAGAGCCCGTGCTCCCCCAGTCAGTCGGGCCTGTCAGAGGTGCTCCTGCCCTCTGGCCATCATGCCCGTGGTTCCCAGTGGTACGTGCACGTGTGCCCGTGTCTGCAAGCTCGACGTAGGGAACCTGGGAAGGTTTCGGTCTCAGCTCAAGTATGGAATTGGGCTGGTCTGGGAGAGTCTGGAGCCTGGGAGCTCCTGAAGTTGGATTAAAAGCAGCTTGATGTGGGATGTGGGGTGGGAAAGTGTCTTGACTTTGGGAACGGGCAGTACCATCAGGGCCTCTCTGTGCTTTAACTTTTCCTGTAAATGTAACACTGACTCACATCTCTAGGGTTGAGGTTTATGCACAGACCCGCACTCACAGGGTTGTTATGTGTGTAGCCAGGTTAGAGAGCTGTGAAGGATCCCGATGTTGTCATACTGACCTGGTGATGCTGATGTGACTAGCACCCACAGAGAAGCAGCGTCTGTCATGACCGNTGCAAGCTCGACGTAGGGAACCTGGGAAGGTTTTGGTCTCGGCTCAAGTATGGAATTGGGCTGGTCTGGGAGAGTCTGGAGCCTGGGAGCTCCTGAAGTTGGATTAAAAGCAGCTTGATGTGGGATGTGGGGTGGGAAAGTGTCTTGACTTTGGGAACGGGCAGTACCATCAGGGCCTCTCTGTGCTTTAACTTTTCCTGTAAATGTAACACTGACTCACATCTCCAGGGTTGAGGTTTATGCACAGACCCGCACTCACAGGGGTTGTTATGTGTGTAGCCAGGTTAGAGAGCTGTGAAGGATCCCGATGTTGTCGTACTGACCTGGTGATGCTGATGTGACTAGCACCCACAGAGAAGCAGCGTCTGTCATGACCGATTCAGAGACGAACGCGGACAGCAGGGACCCCATGCTCAAAGTAGCAGAGTCCTTGTTTAGCAATTCTAGAAGTCTTAATTAAAAAATGGTCAAAGTCATCAATACGGTGAAAGAATAATGTACCATAACCGAGTAAGGCAAATTCTGTAGAGAAAATACAGCTCCGTGTTGGGAAACTTATGAATGTGCTTTGTTCTATCACTGAATTGCAGCATGTCAGACCCAGTGCCCCCTTTTAACATGTTTTATGTACTCTTTGGTAATCTAGAAATGAAATGCATAAATAATAGGATCTTTCTATGCAAATAGCTTAATGTGCATATGATGTCCTAACAAGTATATATTACCTGTGTGTGGGCATCTCTCTCTCTCTCCCGCCTTCTTTGTTTGCTCATTGTATGACTTCTAGGGAATTGAAAAGTAGATCTTCAAAGTATATTTTAAAAGAGCTGCCACAGGGGCCGGCCCGGTGGCGCACTGCGCTAGTGCGCCGCTTGGGAAGCGCGGAGGTGCTCCCGCCGAGGGTTCGGATCCCACATACAGACTGGTTCCCGCTCACTGGCTGAGCGAGGCGCAAGGGCAACACCGAGGGTTGCGATCCCATTGCCGGTCCCAGCCCAGTACGGGGGCGACACTGAGGGTTGCGATCTGTTGCCGGACACGGAAAAAGACAAAAAAAAAAAAAAAAAAAAAAAAAAGAGCTGCCACAAATCAGTTTGGAAGGAAAGGATTCTTTACAGATGATTATTTACATATTTGGAATAATGTGTAAGCTACAGTAACTGGTAAAATGTTTGCTTATTCACTACACATCATACACTAAAAGAAATTGCAGATGACTAAAAATTACATACAAATATAATTTTAAAAAATGTTTATAGTAAAAATAGGTAACAGATTTCTGGAAAGGTTAGGATTCTACATCTTTAAAAAAAGAATGAAGGGGCTGGCAGGTCAGCTCAGTCGGTTAGAGCACGGCCTGATAACACCGAGGTCATGGGTTTGGGTCCCCACACTGGCCAGCCACCAGGACAAAAAGGAACAAGGCACTCTCCAAGGAGAAAGCCGGTGCGCGTAACTGAAACTGAAACCTGAAACGTATCCAGTAAATGATGTAAAGCAGATCTGCCACCCAGAACGCGGGAGCCCTGGGACCCGAGGACGTCACGGTGGTGCCTCTGATCACGGGCTGTGTTTCATGCCTTCTAGAGTGGACAGCACACTTTGGTCCTGGAGGGAAAGTATCTTTACGTGGTAGAAGTGACCCTGGAAAGTCCACCTGGCTGGCTCTGGTCGTCCGGACTGTGGTGTTCCCTACGTCTGGCAAAGTAGTGTTGGAGGCCCTGGCAGTTCTGAAGGTTCCTGTCATTCTTGATAAGAAACTTAGTAGTCAAGGAAAATAGTTGCTTTTTTTCCTTTTCTTGTTTCTCTCTCTTTTTTTTTTTTTTGTGAACCTGAGTTTTTCAGACAGCTGGCCCTGTTCAGCGCGTTTCCTTCCTCTTTCCTTCCCTTTCTCATGGGAGTCTCGGAGACGCTTTGCAGCGCACACGCTTGTGCATAGTCTCGGTTTGACGCTTTTCTGCACCTGCGGTTCAGATGAGCAGCAAAAGAAGCAGAGACCGATCAAAACGAAACCGCGTCGCGCGAACCCTTGACTTGGTGCTGGCAGCCTTTTCCTGACGGTTAGGAAAAGCACCCAGTCCCCTTCCCGTCGCGAGCTTCTCACGTTGTCCACCTCTGTTTATCCAGTTTCTGAATCGCTCAGGTCTGGATTTCACGCTGCCTCCTGCCTCTGTCGTGGCCATGTCACTGCTGATGGCACCGCTCACGCAGCAGGCGGAAGCCAGAGGCCCCGAGAGGCGCCAGCCCGCTTGCTCTTTGTGAGGTCTCTGGTGAGGGGTCCCCGGGGCGGGGTGAGGTTGTGGTGCTGAGTGGAGCTTGGGGGTGACCTGTGGATTGCTGCCCCTGGAAGAGCAGACACGACGGGGAGGGTGCTGGGCAGGCAGTTGGGGACCGGGGCTCGCGTCCGAGCTGGGCCGCACAGCTGGCCACGTGGCCGGTCTCCCACCGCCAGCCTGGCCCTGTGGACGCCGTGTTGGGGTCGCGGCTGCCGCGGGCCCTCACACTCTGCGTCCTGTGCTTCCTCCCGAAGGTCATGAGACGAGTGCGCACCGAGCAGATTCAGATGGCCGTGTCCTGCTACCTCAAGCGCCGGCAGTACGTGGACGCAGACGGTCCCCTGAAGCAAGGGCTGCGGCTGTCGCAGACCGCTGAGGAGATGGCGACCAACCTCACAGGTAACAGTGGGACAAGCCCGGGGCGGTGCTGCCTCTGAGGCTCACGTGCCCATGGCCACCACGCGGAGGCCTGCAGGGTCCCCTGGCTGAGCCTGTTTCCTTCTGCAGAGCTTCCAGGTTGGCATGTGCAGCTTTTTCCTTGCATAAACCCTCAGGGACACGGCCCTGTCCCTTCCTGCACAGGCCCTTCTCCTCCAGCGTGGCCCTTGTAGGTGGACCTCAGGTTTGCCAGGTGACCGAGGACTTCAGGGTCAGTGGTTGGAAGTACTGGTACTGTAGACATGCTCCTGAGGGTTTTAAAATTTGCTTTTGATTTTTGTTGTTTTGAAATCAGATTCTGTTTCAGAAAAACTCGTCTTGAATCCATCTGAAATAACAAGTAATTATTACTTCACTATTTTGTGAGTTGAGGGTTTTATGTGATATGATTTTCTTATACTGAGTTTCTGTTCTGAAGATTTTGAAAGTAAAACTTGCTGCGATGGCCCTGGTGATGAGGAACTACCTAGTGGCTGTGCGTGGTGCTGGGGTGGCAGTGCTGTCTCAGCTCAGCCCTGGCTCCCTCCTGGTGTGCTCAGACCGGGCCCTGGCTTCTTTGTTCCTGGACTTCCTCAGCTCTTCCAAACGTCTGTCACCACCTGCTCCATCACACAGCAGCTTTGTCCCCACGCTGCAGCAGCAGCTACTTGAAGTCCCTCTGTCCGTTCTTGTCAGAATCAAGCACCCAGATCGCGCTCGCCTTAAGGGTCTGCTGCCATTGCTGTGGGGAAGGAGTGACAGGACAGTAAAAACCTGAGCGTGTCCTCGAAGGAGTGGCTTCTGACTCCTGGAGACACTAACAGAAGCCAGCCAGGAACCTGCTCTCTAGTTCTTTGAGGACAATCCTCCTGTTCTTCCTTTCCTGCAGGCTCCACGAGGCTCCCCTTGACAGCAGCAGGGACAGATGATGGCCTTGGTGTAGATTAGCCGCTGCCTTATTGTTCTAGTAGATAGTTTACACGGTGTCCCACCTGGAGTGATTCCTTCTGAATGCGCTGTCGCAGCCTTCAGTGTGCATGAGGGGTCCCCGGCTGCGCTGCGCCTGCTGGAACCTGGGGCTGTCCTCAATAGAAAGCAGGAGTGCGCACCCGTGGCCAGCCTTCCAGGGCTTCACCGTCCTTAGTTGTCTCAGTATAGATGTAATGGCTTGTTGGGACAGTGTTATTCCTGGAAAACCACCAGGCAGAGTGAGAAACGTGAAATATAGTGATCGTCAGTCTTTTTCCTGGCTTCTTCTGTTACTTGAGTGATCTGAGCAATGTCTTCTGAATTCTGACATGTATTGAACATCGGCCGTGGGCCAAATGCTGGAAAGTCCTAGAGGTGGCTGACGTTTGATGCCAGCTCCTGAGCAGCTGAACGTTTTAGCCGGGAGGTGAGGCAGGGAAGGCGGTGACTGTGGAAGGGCGCAGTGCGGTGAGTCTGAGAAGTGGATGCCTCTGGTTCAGTAGGCGCGCAGCAGAGTGTCATCTGATCAGGCCGGCGTGTCAATGCGGCTTCCGGAAGGTCTCATTCCTGGTCACTAAACAGTAGAAGGAATGGGCGGAGTTTCCTTTATCACTCCCATTTTACAATTTAGGAAAGGTTTTATTTTTTTTGGCGGCTGGCCGGTACAGGGATCCGAACCCTTGACCTTAGTGTTACGAGGCTGTGCTCTCACCGAGCCAACCGGCCATGGGCTGAATTTCTGAGGAGCCGTCGGGGTTACGGGGGCAGGTTGGAGCAGGATCTCCCGGTTGTGGAGTGTGAACTGAGGGAAGTTGCTCTGGTGCAGCACTGATTGGCAGGCCCCTGTCAGATCCAGGGCAGCTAGTTAGCAGGTGCAGGGAGCAGAGAGTGCAGCCTGCATGGAGGACGTGGCCATGGGGTGGGGAGGAGGGGTGCGATTTAGGAATCCAGGACTTGGTGACTGATTAACTAGAGGTGCCGGCAACACGGAGGGAGGCGTCGTCCCTGCACAGCCTTCCACAGGCCCTGCTCCGCTGTCTCTGTGGCCTTGTGGGGCACGATGGCTTCCTTCTCATCTCATCTGCATCCCCCTTTCTGCACGCATCGCGTCGTGCCGTGGCTCGCTGGGTCCTGCTGCACTGATTACCGTTCCTCTGTCCTCACTCCGTGGTCTGAAATGTGTTAGTGTTTCATGCAGGTCGCAGGTTACCCCTGCCCCCTGTTAAAAGGGTAGGGGAACTTGGGTTTTCTTTTTGGAAAGCTTAAACTCACAGAACGGAGATGAAGTGCATGTTTACTTAGTGAATATTGAGACTCCAGCCTCCTTCCCCAATTCACCTGCCTGGAGAATCCTCCACAAAGTGAGGGAGACTCTTACCTGGTGAGTCTGACCTGCCCGAGACGTCAGTGCTGGGAAGTTGCCCGTCCAGGTTGTCCTGGGTGATGGGCCGGGCCACAGCACACGCAGTTGCTGTCGACGCTGGGGCGCCTCACTGTCACACAGCTGGGGACCATCAGACCCTGGAAGAAACGTGTGTCATATGAAAGACAGTTGGAAAGAAACAGGAGAAAACTTCAAAGATGCCATCATCACAGCCTTGAAACAAGAAGATAATGCTGTTTAGGGGGAAAAGAAAGAACAGACAACGAAAGCATTGTCGATTAAGTACACGTTAGTAAAAATGAAAAACTGGTAGGAGGGTCGAAAGTTAAGAAGCGTCCCAGAGACAGGAGTGAAAGGACAAGTGGAACACGGGGGAGACGATTAAAGGATCAGTTCAGGAGGTCCAACCTCGACATCGTAGGAGATTCAAAACGATGCAGGAAAATTTCTCAGAACTGGGAGACATGAATTTCCAGGTTGAAAGGGCCTACTAGGGCCAAGCCTGTGGCGCACTCGGGAGAGTGCGGCGCTGGGAGAACAGCAGCGCTCCCGCCGCGGGTTCGGATCCTATATAGGATGGCCGTGCGCTGTGCACGCACTGGCTGAGCGCGGTGCGGCCGGTCTCAAAAAGGACCAAAAAAAAAAGGGGGGGGGCCTACTAAATGCCTGCACAGCGTTGACTGTGGGCCACACCGGGGCACATTGTTGTAAAGTGTCAGAGCATGGGGTCACGCGTTTGCAGATAAGCCTCGTGAACTTACGTGCTGTCCTCTCCTGTTCATCTTATCTGTCCTGTGCTTTAGACCTTTTCATTCCTCTGTCCTCATTTAATCGGGTGTCAGGAGGGAGGGGAGACAAGCAGGTGTCACCAGGCTGTCACACTAACCAGGACCCTGCTGTCTTTGAAAATCTGCTGAGACATCAGCTGTCATTGCTGCGTGCTTGCCTCTGTGTGCCTTGCTGTATGGAGCTATACCGGGCTAACGACTGTCTTTCCCGCCCCATCCTGTGTGTCTTTTCCTCTTTAGTCCAGTCAGAGTCTGGCTGTGCCAACATCGTGTCTGCAGCCCCTTGCCAGGCAGAGCCCCAGCAGTACGAAGTGCAGTTTGGACGGCTGCGGAATTTTCTCACTGGTAAGTACTCAGCACTAGGAGCCTTTTCTTATTTAAGAAAGTGAGTCATAAAATATCCCTCAGAGCCTCCTGTATCCCCGACGTGGCATTAGGCACTAGGGACTCAGAGGTACTTTAGCGCAGTCCTTGTGTTCAGAATCAGGGTCTGCTGGAATTCCCAGGAGACTTAAATCATGAGGCTGACGTTCACAGGGTGAGGGCTCTGGGTGTGTCTTAGTCACTGTTTATCCCGGGCCTTCAGCACAGCGACTTGCGACCGGTGGTGTGACGCAAAAGCTGCATCAGCCACGCCGAGCCACGTCCTTAAGTGCAGTG